AAGGTTCAAGTTGATCTTTGCTGAAGTTGGTTGATGAAAAAGAACCAGTTTGAGTCAGAGAATCTTGGTGAATGGAAAAGTCAAGGCCGAGGCCTGGCACGAGCTTAGGATGTCCTGGAGCGTTGTAGCTCACATTTTCATCTTCTCAGAATTCAACCAAACTACCGACTCTGGGCGGGTCACTGAATGTGAGGCCTTTAAAGTCTGCGAAGATTCACGCCTCTCAAGGGGGCTTGTCCAATAAGAAAGACGGCAATCCCAAGTGGGAGTTTGGACATACTGGGGAGTTTTATGACTCTTTGTGTGGAAGCATGGTAATTTGCATATGGAACTTGAATCGAATATTACTAAAGATTTTCAGGACACTAATATATTGCCTATGTACCAACATATAATATACACTCTCGTTTAGATCATCAGAAGGCGAATTCATAGATACTGAACGTGGTAGAATTACATATAGGTAAAATGACAGGAATGAGTGTTCCATCATAAGCCTGCATAAAACAGTATAAAATCTCAAAGACAACATACACGATAACCTGAAGGATATGTGTGTTCATTCAAAGAAAGGTTTTCCTATGGATTAATTAGAAAAGAGTCAATTTCTACTGGGCACTGTGTCTCTTTCTAATTCAAAGGCAGTGATTTTCCCTACTTACATTCCATTATGTCGTAAATGGCTCTGGTCTAGCAAAGGTGTCGTGGTTGCCATGGTAACCAGTGGCCTGTGGTCATTCGCAGACATCCTGGTGCCCAGTCTATTGGGTTAGGGGTCTGTGACGACTTGTTAATCTAATGAATAACTGATTTGTTAAATCAAATGAAAAATGGTGTGTCTGATTGGTCCAGACGCTACAAACGTGTTCACCAGAAGTCATACAGGTTTAGATTCACATCAGGGTAAATAAATGAATACGTCTGTTTTTCATGCAAAGCTGTCCTATCTGCACTATGGACTTGCAGTGTTTGCAATACTTGCAATATTGCCCTGTTGAGCAGCTTGACAGCTCACTATGAGTGATTGTTTCATGTAAAAGAGCTTCCGAAAATCCTTCTTTTGTGTTGCATGGAAAAAACAATTACATATGGGTTTGGAATGACATGAGGTGAATGATAAATAATGAAATGATTGCATTAAACTATTCGAATGCATTTGTTGCACACCAAATGAGTGTGCAATATGTTGCATTAGCTGATGTCCTGCTGATGTTTGTTTAAAATATAAAATACCCTTCATTAGGTATAGTAATTGCATTTTGGAGTGTTTTGTTAAGACGCTTTCCTCTTATCCTGCATATGAAGCTAATTAGATTAATTATCTGACACTGTCTCTGTTTTCAAGCCAGTCTTGGGCCGCATAATTAAGTGTTGATTTTATTTTTGTTTTTGGAAAATAAATGCTTTCAAAACCCATATAATACTCATTAAAACAATCATTTTGTTCCACAGAACACAACCAGCAATTAGCGTGATCAACCTGATGTACAATAATTGCTCTTGTTGCTGTTTATTGTTTCGCTGGTAGACAAAAATCCAATCCAGTGTTGCCGAAGCATGAAAAAAAGACAAGAAAATTTATTTTGAAGGAGCTTCGCCTTCGCTGTGTGATGCTCATTGTCCGTCATAATCATAATGGCAATGATTCTGCTTTGCAAAACAGACCTTTGACTTGCAGCTAACAATCGGACGACCCCTTCCGGCTCGGTTTTCTTTGTAAAGATCTGTAAGAGTTTCATAGCAGCTTGACAGAAAAAATAAATGCCTTCAATTCACAAACATTTTGAATTTCACTCTTGTTCTGTAAAATTATAGATAATATTTGTTTATATTGTGCGTTTGTTTGGCCGACAGCTGAGGACACATGTGGCGGGACCTTCCGCGGGTCCAGTGGCACCATCTCCAGTCCAGACTTTCAGAAGGACTATCAGAGCAGTGGCGAGTGCACGTGGACCATCCTGGCTGATCCAGGAGACACCATCTCACTGGTCTTCACTGAATTCCAGATGGACAGCAAACTCGACTCTTTAGATGTTGAGGGATCCGATCCACCAACAATATGGTGAGTATGATACTGAATTATGTTGCGTCTCACTGGATTTCTTTATTCTGCATTCTGTGGTCAGTTATTGTTGCAGGGTTCCTGCTGGTTTTAAAAAGGTCTTGAATCATAGCAGAAAGTCTCAAATTCATCAAGTCGTGGCATTAACTCTTTCCCCGCCATTGACGAGTTATCTCGTCTTTTACAAGAAAACGCTTCCCTGCCAAAGATGAGTTTTTACGGCTTTTCGTGTTTTCACTGTTATACACTCGGAGGCGCTATTACGCATCTTCTGAACAAGTACAAAACCTCCCGAACAAAAACACACGTGAACAGGATGGAGAAACTAGCGATCTCTTATGTAAACAGATGCATATGAAAAATTATGTGATCATCAGCAATAGACAGCATATAAATGAAAACTGCATAATGTTACAGAGTAAAATGTTGGTCCAGGAAGTGGTATATGTCTGTGCAAGCTTTGGAAGTATTGATGGAAGCGATTTACTGGATTTATGCTTTGATAATCGTACTGAATATTATCCAGATGTAGTTTGATAAAAATTTGATTTTTGCTCAAAATTATGCATTTTTATGAAACCTACCTATATTCAAGTGTTGATATAAAAAAAAATTCTTTAAGCTAGTATAAAACTGATTCATATGTATATTCATACAGCAAGATATACTGCCATCCAATTTTAGTGAAAATCATCAAAATCACTTGCGGTGGCTGGCAACGGCGGGGAAAGAGTTAAATGGTGCATTGCAATGTATATCTTGCTCAGTATTTTTGTCTTGATTTCCAATACAAATATCTAATCATCCTGAAAACGAGATGCATTTACTTGAGATGCAAATGTAAAATGTATTGAACAAAATTAATTTAGTTTTTGCTTAAAAAAAAGAGCTAGTATCTGTGGGGTATGAATATTTTGTTCTTGTTTTAGTCATAAGCTCACTTTATTTTCATCAATTTTGACCATAAATAAGACTTGTTATTTTGCTTTTCAAGTAAATGTATCTTGGTTTAAGAATCTTTAGACCTTTGCACTGGAAAACAAGACAAATATACTGAAAAAGAACAGCAGTTTTTTGCAGTGTGTTCCGAAGATGAACGAAGGTCTTACGGGTTTGAAACGACATGAGGGTGAGCAATTAATGACAGAATTTTTATTTTTGGGTGAGCTATCCCTTTAAGGATTGAATAGCTCTGCTCCCAACCACTAGAATATGGAAATAATTTTTACTGCACCTTCTGAACACACTGCAAAAAACTGCTGTTCTTTTTCAGTATATTTGTCTTGTTTTCCAGTGCAAAGGTCTAAAGATTCTTAAACCAAGATACATTTACTTGAAAAGCATTTTTAGTCTTATTTTTAGTTAAACAATTTTTTTTTTTACTATTTTTGGGTGAACTAACCCTTTAAGCTTTTGTTTGTGTGTGTGTGTGTGTGAAATTAATTAAAAAGTAATGGAGATCTTTTGGAAGCTGTATTTTCAAACTGTAAACTCATTGTGCTTCCCATACATTTACATATTGACGTATTGTGTTCCTGTAACTATGTTCCTTAAATTTTCTTTACTTGGTCTTTAAAATGCCTTAAATGTACCTCCATAAAATCTGCGGAAACCCTTTTTTTGTATAATGAGCATTAAACTTGGATAATCATCCCAGACCAGTAGTTTCCTTTCTGTTTTTCTGTTTTTCATCACACACACACACACACACACACACAGAGGTTTGTTTTTGTGAATTGTGGGGACATTCCATAGGCGTAATGGTTTTTATACTGTACAAACCGTATTTTCTATTGCCCCACACCTAAACCTACCCCTTACAGGAAACTTTCTGCATTTTTAGATTTTCAAAAAAACTCATTCTGAATGATTTATAAGCCTTTTAAAATATGGGGACACTCAAAATGTCCTCATAAATCACCTTCTCATTGTAATACCTATGTCACATGTCATTATACAAATTTGTGTCCTCATAAATCACAAAAAAGCACGCACAAACACACACACACACACATTTTTTTATTTTTTCTTAAATATATATATGTATATTATTTACTTATGCTGATAATTCATTGTGCAAAACACAGTATGTACAAACCATGTTTATCATCATCATTGATTTTTTTTTTACACCTTTCATAGTTTTATAAGTTGTTTTTGACAATGAGAGCATGTCACACAATTTGTGCTTGTTGCCACTGGTATCATTTGACTAACATATACAAAGTTACAGGTGATTTAGCAAAATAGCCAGTTTGATTGGATGCGCAGCCTTCGAGATTGTCAACAAAAGATGTGGGAAGCGTTTTGTTTTCCTTTTTAAAAGTCTGTCTGTTTTGTTATCCGAACTATACATGATTATATGCTTAGTTGCATTATATTATTTGCATTTATATATTTTTTTCCCCTGCTGTCTGCAACAACCCACCAGTTGAGATCCACTGATTTAAACTCAAACCAATATTTAATATGCATTTTTACCTGCATAATTACTGTACTTTCATCCCTTTGTGTTTTTTCCTTATGCGTTGATAGGTTCATAGGATGCAACATCTTAATTTCAAATTGTAGAAATGATTTTCAGTATGACAATTGTTGGGCTGGAAATGTGTGATTTATGTGTTAGATTGTCCAAAGAAACTACTCAGAAGGTGCTAAAACTTCCATCAAACCTCTGAAATGACTGTGTGAGCTTGTGAGAATCATATGAAATAAGATTACATGCCTTTAACTTGATTCAATGTAGCCTGCATGACTGCAAATCGAAAGATTTCAGTCTTGGCACAGGAAAACAGAGCATACTGAACGAGTCCTCAGCGATAAACTCAACCGCTGATGCTGAAATGACAATCAGACACTGTGAGTGCATGTTAAGAGCGCAGGGAACATGATTGTGTGAGCAGTATCCTGGCGTGGTGGTGATGACCTTGCTTGTAGGTTGCTTCATTGATTCGCTTAAGTCATTTCTATAAGCAACATGACAAATGAAGCCAAGTTTTGTTAGAGCAGAATGAACTTCTCCCCTCTAATATTGTTCAAGCCAAACAAACAAATCAATATTTTTGTTGGAATGACCTTTATGTAGTTCTGAATGTTGGAAAGGGCAAAAACAACAATCTCGTAAGTTACAAATCACTCATAGAAAGGAGCGTACAAAAGCCATTCCTCTCGCTCTCCAAAAGAAAGAGCGTTCTTTGTTTGGAAAAGTATATTACATTTCTTTTGGTCTTAGATGGAACATGCTACAGGACTTAAATGAGACACCTGGGGTCACGTTTTGCAGGCATAACATGCCTGTTTCTGGGTTGGTATTGTGTTTGTACTCATGCCGCGTCAGATTCTGAGCTCAGATCAGACGATATTTAAACCGCAAGGTCAACACTTGAGCATATTTTGGGAATATGAATCAGATGTGTCTGCGTTTCTCCATATTGTGATGCTGAAAATATTTTATTCTTAGATGAAGACAAATGGCGGGTTCTTGTTAGGGTTTTGCATCATTTAAAGTGAGCGGTTTTCCTCTTTTCCCCAAACAGGCCGCTCAGAGAGTCACGACCAAATGAAGTCTTTTGTATCCATTCTCTCCTCAGAGATTTTACACACTCGCTGTGACTGCAGCTGCCCGCTGCATACAAGATTTGTCCCACTTCCCTGTGCCACACTGCCTGGAAATAAAGGAATAAACAGCACACACACACACTCACTCACTCACTCACACTCAGGCAGATTATGTTGCATGGTGGGAGAAGGTTAAAAGCAGACAGCTGCATGGACTGTCATCATAATTTTGCAAAGGTTATTTTGTGATAATATTATCTTTTTATCATTGCTCGAATCAGAAACGTCCAGAATCAGTTATTTCTGTTATTTTAGGGGCTTAAAAATTAGCTTTACGCTTGTTCTGTACCATCAGTAGAGATTAAAGTTTTGCTATTTGAGCACTGAGCACATCTATCTATCTATCTATCTATCTATCTATCTATCTATCTATCTATCTATCTATCTATCTATCTATCTATCTGTCTGTCTTCCATCCATCATTCCATCCATCGTTCCATCCATCCATCGTTCCATGCATCCATCCATCCATCGTTCCATCCATCAATCGTTCCATCCATCGATCCATCCATCCATCCATCCATCCATCCATCCATCCATCCATCCATCCATCCATCCATCCATCCATCCATCCATCCATCCATCCATCCATCCATCCATCCATCCATCCATCCATCCATCCATCCATCCATCCATCCATCCATCCATCCATCCATCCATCCATCCATCCATCCATCCATCCATCCATCCATCCATCCATCCATCCATCCATCCATCCATCCATCCATCGTTCCATCCATCCATCCATCCATCCATCCATCCATCCATCCATCCATCGTTCCGTAACAAACTGGATCTAACAAAATCTAACAAACTGGATCTGTTTATCTGTCTGTCTATCATCCATCCATCCATCCATCGTTCCATAACAAACTGGATCTAACAAACTGGATCTGTTTATCTGTCTGTCTATCATCCATCCATCCATCCATCCATCACAAACTGGATCTAACAAACTGGATCTGTTTATCTGTCTGTCTACCATCCATCCATCCATCCATCCATCCATCCATCCATCCATCCAAAACTGGATCTAACAAAATCTAACAAACTGGATCTGTTTATCTGTCTGTCTATCTTCTCATCCATCCATCCATCCATCCATCCATCCATCCATCCATCCATCCATCCATCCATCCATCCATCCATCCATCCATCCATCCATCCATCCATCCATCCATCCATCCATCCATCCATCCATCCATCCATCCATCCATCCATCCATCCATCCATCCATCCATCCATCCATCCATCCATCCATCCATCCATCCATCCATCCATCCATCCATCCATCCATCCATCCATCCATCCATCCATCCATCCATCCATCCATCCATCCATCCATCCATCCATCCATCCATCCATCCATCCATCCATCCATCCATCCATCCATCCATCCATCCATCCATCCATCCATCCATCCATCCATCCATCCATCCATCCATCCATCCATCCATCCATCCATCCATCCATCCATCCATCCATCCATCCATCCATCCATCCATCCATCCATCCATCCATCCATCCATCCATCCATCCATCCATCCATCCATCCATCCATCCATCCATCCATCCATCCATCCATCCATCCATCCATCCATCCATCCATCCATCCATCCATCCATCCATCCATCCATCCATCCATCCATCCATCCATCCATCCATCCATCCATCCATCCATCCATCCATCCATCCATCCATCCATCCATCCATCCATCCATCCATCCATCCATCCATCCATCCATCCATCCATCCATCCATCCATCCATCCATCCATCCATCCATCCATCCATCCATCCATCCATCCATCCATCCATCCATCCATCCATCCATCCATCCATCCATCCATCCATCCATCCATCCATCCATCCATCCATCCATCCATCCATCCATCCATCCATCCATCCATCCATCCATCCATCCATCCATCCATCCATCCATCCATCCATCCATCCATCCATCCATCCATCCATCCATCCATCCATCCATCCATCCATCCATCCATCCATCCATCCATCCATCCATCCATCCATCCATCCATCCATCCATCCATCCATCCATCCATCCATCCATCCATCCATCCATCCATCCATCCATCCATCCATCCATCCATCCATCCATCCATCCATCCATCCATCCATCCATCCATCCATCCATCCATCCATCCATCCATCCATCCATCCATCCATCCATCCATCCATCCATCCATCCATCCATCCATCCATCCATCCATCCATCCATCCATCCATCCATCCATCCATCCATCCAAAACTGGATCTAACAAAATCTAACAAACTGGATCTGTTTATCTGTCTGTCTATCATCTATCGTTCTATCTATCGTTCTATCTATCGTTCCATCCATCTATCGTTCCATCCATCTATCGTTCCATCCATCCATCTATCCATCCATCTTTCTGTCGTTCTATCGTTCCATTCATCTATCGTTCCATCCATCTATCGTTCCATCCATCTATCGTTCCGTCGTTCTATCGTTCCATCCATCTATCGTTCCATCCATCTATCGTTCTGTCGTTCTATCGTTCCATCCATCTATCCATCCATCGTTCTGTCGTTCTATCGTTCCATCCATCCGTCCGTCTGAAAATCCTTCAAAATAAGTGATTAAGCAAAAGAGTAAAGGAATTTTAAAGTGATAAACGAGTCAGATCACTTAGAAAAGTACTAGCACACCTTGATGTGTCATTCATGTCTGTAGCACAATCAGTGCAGGACAAGTTACATGCCAAAGTGTAATATTTATAGGTAGGAGTTTGTTTAAATCCCTAACTCTAAGTGTAACTGATATTAATAGAGATGCTTGACTTTGAACTGCCAGCAATGCTGAATGACTATTGGGACGGATGCTTTAGAGCCTGTACTCCCTGAGATAAGCTATTTGGCTTGAACCAACAACAGTGTAACCCCGGCAAAGGCTAGATAACATTATTATTATGGTGAACATAATGTGCATTTCTCTATTAATAAAGTGTGAGCACTTTTGACTGCTGGTCCAGTTCTGACTACAGCAATTAACTGCATCTGTCCTATTGTCTGCTGACCTGCTGCACAAACACTTACACAAAAATAAATAGTAATTGAAAAGACACAAATAAATCAAAACACCAGTGGAATGCAGGAAATGGATACGCCTCTCTCTTACTCCTCCTCCCTGCTTGAGAGAGAGAATAAAGAGGTGAAGATATAGCGAGACTAACAAACTGGATTTGTACGATTTCAGTGCTGGGGTGCTGTGGGTGGCTGAGAAGGCATTGCTATGTGGTTGCTGGGGTGTTTTGCTGTGGTTGCTAGGGTATTTGGGTGATTATTTAGTGGTCAAAAGAGTCCACCACCAAATCTCTCTGATATCCTGGTCACTAGATATGACTCACTCCTCCTTCACTATTACTGAATGGAGTCTGATTGCAGCCAGACAATGAAATGATAGAACGATTGAAAGAAGGCTAGAAAGAAAGAACTAATGAAAGAGAGAAAAAAGAATGAAAGAAACAACAATACATCGAACAAACGATAGATAGAATGAATGACAGATATATACATAGATAGATAGAACGACAGGAAGATAGATATATAGACAGGCATACTTATTCATACATTAACTCGTTGATATTTAGAGAAACTATTATTCCAAAAATGTCATATAAATTAGTTTTATTAAATGAAAATAAACTGAAATCCATACATGTATAGCTGTATTTCACAGAAACATGTTCAGGGCACATTTCACCACAAAAAACAACTTTTAGGTAAAAAATACACGTTTAGGTAATATACTGTAGTACAACTATTTGTTTATCAAGTTAAATACAGAATGATATAACATGTAATTATAAAAATACAAGGGACAAATATTTTGTATATACAGTACACACACTGCCGTGAAAACAGTAAATACATATTTATTTTATTTGTTATCAAAAAATTTTTTTATTACATTTTCATCTTAGTTTTTGTTAATGATAACACAATGCAACCACAATTTGTTTTACTTAATTTTTTTTATGGTTCTTCTGTAATTCTGTGGTGCTAATTATTATTACACTATTTATTTTCAAGTAGCGTCAATATTTTGGTCAGGTAAATTGTATAACTTCTTTAATTATGAAAGACAATTTAATTATGAAGGATGGAAACATTCTAGAACTTTCTGTAACATTCTCTAATATGCTGTAATATTCTAGTGATTTCTGGAACATTCCAGAACATTGTGGGACTCGTAATAAAAGACAAAAATCATCCAACATACACTTCTAAAGTTTTGGACGACTCGCTTTTGGCAACTGTTTATGTTAAACTGCTGTTAGCTCAGTATTATGCATGTACCATGTTATTTTTATGCATGAGTAATAACAGATTAGTTTGTATAAGTTGTCAACATTTTTTCATCAGCACTGTTAATGATACACAAAAAGTAATGTGATTCAGCATATAAAAAATAAAAACAAAACAAAACGTTAATAAAAATTTGCTCCACGGTGTAATAACGCTTATTTTGGGGGTGGGCTTTTAAGACTTGCTCTTGTAATTAACCACCTAACAACTTTCAGCAACCACAAAAAAGCAACCAACTGCAGCACCTTAGCATCATGGCAGTGCGTTTTAGAGTTGTGTTTGAAACCAGCAGATGATGTTGGGGTCATTAGTTAACGTCGCTGGTGCCAAAATTGAAGCGTGTTAGTTTTACAAAATAGCCACACGTCCCTTGAGTTTCAGTTAGACCGGTCTTTCAGGTCAGATTCAGGGTTGGATCCAGGCTTTAACGTGGGTTGATGCCTTGATGTTTTACAAACGTATAAAAATCTCTCGTTTGCCCTTTTTAACATTGTGTTGTGAACTATGTTTTTCTTCAAAAAGCGATTCCACTGTCAGATCTCACTTGAACAATTGCAGCGCCGGCTATGATTGACAGACAGCGAGGAAAGGAGTCATTCTGGAAAGTCTGTGAAGGCTGAAATGGCTTAGCCTTGAAATACTTTTGCTCTGTTTTACTATAGACTTTCACTGTCACGGCCGATTGACTGTTAGGAAGTTTAAAATGATGGCCGAGTCCTTGAGATGTTCGGAGTTGGGAAGAAACAATAGATCTAATGTTTGTGGCAAACAGCTAACGGCTGTTTATACGTCATTTGCATCTCAGTAAACCGCACAGTCATTTATAAAGGTCACATTTTATGGCATGTGACGCTTCCAGTACTTCCTTCATTTAGCCTGCTTCAAATAGGGCCACTGTACCTTACAATAATATCATCAAAAAGAAGAAGAAGAAAAAACATTTATGCATTTGGCAGATCTTTTTCTCTAAAGTGGCTTACATTGCATTCAAAGTATACAGTTTATCAGTTAATGCATTCCCTAGGATGTGAATCCATGACCTTGCA